CGGATCAGGCCAACCGGCAAAAATTGGCATGGCTCACGGCCCCACCGCCACCAGCCCCCAGGCGGCGAAACACCTACCGCGCCCGGTTGCCACCAGCAAGAGTAAGAGGCGACCAGACGTCTCCGGGACCAGCAACGGACGGCAGATCACCACGCCGACCGGACGGGTGCGCCGCGATGCGAGCCCCGGCTCCACGAACCACCACGGAGGAACGACCGCCAACAACCTCGCAGTCACTAACCGGGAGCACCAGCCGCACCGCGCCGCCGCCACCATCTGCCACCGCTGAACCGGACATCAGGCGATTCATCGGCCCTCAACCACCACCACCACTGAGGGTCGAGATCATAGAGGGACTCTACGCCGAAGTGCCACACTTCGCCGCCTACGTGTCCCGGCTCTACAGGGTCCGCACGGAGGGAGGAAAATGGATCCTCCGATTCACCAGGGATGGACAGTTAAGATCACGTCGCTTCGTTCCGACATAGACGCCGCTCCTAAAAAAAAAAAAAAAGGGAGAGGGTGGTGTGACGAGACGTCCCTCCTCGTCACCACGACCTGACATAAACATCCGTCAGGTCGTGTAAAAAGCGCAAAGCGCCAAACAAAGATAACGAAAACCGCCGCCGGCTCGCAGCACCGCCGCGGATACCCGTGCGTGGGGGAACAGCGTACGTGCCGAAAGTGCGAGCCGGCCGGTATAAAAGCGACGCACGATAACGATAAGGAGCAATCCCGCGGCGTCCGTACGCGCCTTCGTACGTTCGCCGCTTCCTCGCTGGCTACCACCAGCATCCTGAAAACCGCTACGACGGGAAGGTGAGCTCATCCTCCCCGAGTACGGCCATCCGTCTCATCCGCTCCCCAAGAGGCCAGGGAACCAGAGGTGGCGCGCTCACCGCCTCGGTCAAGCGCTCCTGACCTCCCGGCCGCTTGGAGACCCGACTAAGAGGAAAGGTGCGCTCATCTGCCCTCAAGGTCCGCACCAATAAGAAAAGAGGTTCGCCAGCAACCGTGGGATATAGAGGTGGCGCGCTCACCGTCTCTGCCCTGAGCTCTGGGCTCCCCGGAAGCGGGTTCCTCTCCACCGCCAACCTGCACCTCAAGGCACGCCGCCACCCGTCCGCCGACACGAGCCCGCGCCGCGTACGCCGGGCAAACCGCGGTAGGCGCTCCGCCACGGGAAAGTAATACCGCGCGCCGACACCGACCGCGTCGCCGCG